ATGTGATGGATTACATTAATTGATTTTCTGATGTTGAACCATCCTTGTGCTCCTGGGATAAAGCCCACTTGGTCGTGGTGTATTATTGTTTTAATGCATTGTTGGATTCTGTTAGCTAAGATTTTGTTGAGGATTTTTGCATCGGTGTTCTTTGGGAGATTGGTCTGAGGTTTTCTTTTTTTGTGTTTTCTTTGTTAGGTTTTGATATTAGTATGATGTTAGCTTCGTAGAACGTTTGTGGTAGTTTTCCTTCTTTTTCAATTTTTTTGGATGAGTCTGTGTAGAATGGGCACTAGTTCTTTTCTAAATGTTTGTTAAAATTCATTTGTAAATCCATCTGGTCCTGGACTTTTATTTTTGGGGAGGGTTTTGATTACTTCTTCTATTTCCTTGCTTGTGATTGGTCTATTTAGCTGTTCTATTTCTTCTTTATGTAGCTTTGGGTGGTTGTAGAGTTGTAGGAATTTGTCCATTTCTGTTAAATTGTCCAATTTGTTTGCATATAGTTGCTCATAGTATTCTCTGATTATTCTTTTGATTTCTGCTGTGTCTGTTGTGATTTCTCTTCTTTCATGTATGATTCTGTTTATTTGTGTTTTGTCTTGTTTTTTCTTTGTGAGTCTGGCTAGTGGCCTGTCTATCTTGTTTATTTTTTCAAAGAACTAACTTTTGGTTTCATTGATTTTTATTTTTTGGACTGTTTTCCTGACTTCCATTTCATTTATTTCTGATTTGACTTTTATTATTTCTTGTCTTCTGCTGGCTTTTGGGTTATTTTGTTGTTCTTTTTCCAATTCTTTAAGGTGGGACATGAGGTTGTTTCTTTGAGCTATTTCTTATTTCTTTATGTGAGCTTGTATTGCTATATATTTTCCTCTTGTAACTGCTTTTAATGTGTCCCATATTTTTTGGAGACTTGTGTCGTCATTGTCATTCTTCTCCAAGTATTTTCTAATTTCTTCTCTGATCTCCTCATTGATCCAACTGTTTTCCAGTAGTGTGGGTTTTAGTCTCCACGTGGTAGGTGGGTTTCTTGCCTTCTTCATATGGTTTATTTCTAGTTTGATTCCTTCGTGGTCGGAGAAAATAGTTGGTATGATTTCGATCTTATTGTATCTATTGAT